TCTCTTTAGCAACTTTGTTGCGAGAGTATAAAAATAAGTGTTGGACGTGTACCGTTAAAAATTAATTTTTGTATGGGGACATGTATATATGGGGGTAGATATGTTCTGAGTAATATGACCATATCATAGTAGAGTTAGACTTAAATTTAAGCTTAGAAATGTCAATTATTCGATGAATTTCTAGGGATAGTAAAAATACTTATATAGATCACATTAGGCAAGAACGAATGGGCGAACAAGCTGACGGATATAGGTAAATCAGTTTAGCTCGTCACTCTGACCTTTCCACCTTTCTTTCTGTGTGCTACAAACTTCGTCGCAAACTTAACAAACTTTGCTCGGGGTATAAAGAAGGGGTACAGCTAATGCCGGAAGAGGAAAAGAAAATAATTTTTTGATGTGAACAATTCCAAATTGTCCAAATTCTATGCTCTTCTGGTTTTCTTCTATGATGAGTTCAGTTGACCCTTGGTAGAATTTCAGCTGCAAGCAAGCGCTTACTTCGGTAAGGGTTTAGTCAGGTAAGACTAAAGGGACGTTACGAAACAAGTAATTTTCATTAAAAAAAGAGTCTGACTAGGGCGGATGTCCGGCAGTTTAGACGCGCTGAACACAATTTTCGGCCGATGCCGCTGCAATTTTACGTTCGATATTGATACGAATTTCATCAATCGCCGCTGGCTTATTGGCATAGACCATAGACTTGAAGTAACCTCACAGGAAATAGTATAACGCCGTCAAATCGGCCGACCAAGGCAGCCAATTGACTGGGCCGTTTCAAGAGAAAACTCGTTCGGAAACTCGAAACGGAGACTGATTTGGATTTTCCTCAATTGCTGCGCTAGCGGCAGCAATATTTTTGACACTACCAGCACTTCTCACTACTCTTTGCCTCACTGCAATGACAATCATAAATGGGACGTAGCGCTTTTAAAGTTGAATCCACTGACTCCGAATTTCGGTACTAAATTATAATAATTTCGACTCATTGTTGGATCTTAAATCTTTCAATGATGAAATGGTAAAGCTTACTGAAGCGATAAGTCAAAAGAGCAGAAAAAAGATGGCATCGTTTATGTCCCTATCGATGTACTTTTGTGGCGTCTCTTTTGAAATTTAGCTATGCTCATCAGTCGACATGTAGATACCCGAAATAGGCTCTCAGTTTTTAACACACATCTTTTTCACTCCATGAAGTTACTCATTTGTCGGAATCGTTATCATCGAGCCACTATAGCATTTATCTGCCATACAAACTGAACAATGAAAATCAAGTTCTTCTATGGACAACTTGTTTACTTGACAAGCTATCTTCACGAAATTTGGCACAGTTTATTGCCTAAAGCAACGCTATAAACTCTGAAGAAATTGTACAGATCGCAACTCTATAACATACAGCTGCCATTACACAGGCGGTTTGAATTCAGCTTCCCATAAAAAAAAAAAAAAACTAAATGCATATAAAACAAACGGTAAACTAGAAAAACACTCGTATAAAGCTAAAGCTTGAGAGCGTTAAACCCGGAGCACACCTAGCTGACTTGCATAAAAGGAGGAGAAACAGTGCAAATATTGATTATTAGATTAGACAACCTTTTTCACAATTTACACAACTGTTTTCAATTTTTATTGTTGCTTAGCTCATCAAATGTTGCAAAAAATATACAAAAACGATTAATGCTCGCGTTAAATGAAAGAGGAAAACAAACATAATTATTTTTTTTCTTTTTTCAAATATAGTAAATACATATTTCCAATTTTAATTACGTTCAACTAAACCAACTAACCTATAATATATATGTTTATACAGCATAGTCACACACAGCGCACACAACGGTGTTTACATTCTTATAACTAAAGTGCTTTGCATTTCACTTAAAATCAAATGGCGGAGCATCACGGCACGTGTAAGGACCCATGGGCGCTATAATCACTTGTATTGACAAATTATTGCGCTCGGCACCAATTAGGTGGGGACTGAGCTTAATGGAAGACAACGCCAACTCATCGTAGGGTATTAGGTTGTCCACATTCAGCACGCGCACCTTATTCGAAAAATACTCGGTGCGTTCGTGTACGGTGAGAATATGATCGATTTTATTTTGTACACCAGTGATCAGTACGGCGACCTAAAGGCGTAGAAAAATGCAGCAGTTTACATGTATTCGTTACATTATGTTTGCATGTATGAGCAATATTACCTTGAAACGCTCCTCGTCAAGCTGTGGATATTTGCAGGTGACGCGCAGACGCACAGTTTTCAACGAAAACTCTGGTACATCTTCACCCCAAATAATTTTCGCTTTGTTGTATTTGACACCGCGCGGAAAGAATTCAATCTCCCAAGTTATGGTATGATCTAAAACAAATAGAAGACAGAAGTGGCTTTAGCAAGAAAAAACGTTAACTTCGGGTGCCTCGCCCATAACATAAAAGGTTATAAAAATTATTATTTTTCTTGATCGGTTGTTGCTATTGAAGAGACAGTAAGCAGTCCTAAAGTACTTTGGAGAATGCGTATTATCAGTCAGTTAGTATGGCAGCAATATGCTATAGTGGTCCGATCTAAGAAATTTGTTGAGAATTTATGGAGCTACAGTGGAACATAATCCATGTCGAATTTCGTAAATATATCTCGTCAAATGAAAGAGATTTCTATACACGGACTTTTATTTTGACTGGTGCTATAGTGGTCGAGGCGTACATGACGGACCCATTCCCACGACAGTCAAGTCTACGTAACCGGAGCGGGCTCGATAATTTTTTATCCGGTCAAGAACTGTCAATTCTGCCGCTACAACAACAACATCGCACATGAATCGTTTATATTTATATTTCATAGGGCCTCCAACGTTTCTTTCTTCGTGGCAAACTTAATATGTATACTCTGTTCAAGGTATAAAAACTAAAAAGAGACCAATAAATACACACCATCTTCAGTTTCGGCTATGTTGCGTTGCGAAAAGAAGCACGTCACATAATTCGTATATTTTTCGATTTGATCGAACTCTTTCACATGTATGCTCACGCTCCAGGTGTCATTGGAATATAGGCGCGGTGTAAATTGCAGCATGCCCTCAGGAGAATAACGCACCTCACGTACACGGTCTTCCTGACCCGATTGATAGCTCATACCTAGAAATACGCAGAATAAAACACATCAATCAAATATAACTGTAATTTGAGTATAATGTAAATAACAACTTCACTCGCCTATTGCCATGCGTTGAACAATATATTCTTTGTGATACTCTAGCAGTGGGAATAGTAGCAAATGCGCCAATTCACGCGGTGTCATCATTGCAAATCGTATATGCACCACCGTCTGCTCGACCAATTGCAAGAATGCCGTATTTTTCTCTTCCAACGTGAGCGTCTCATCATTGTCGTAGACTTCTTTGCGATGCAAAAGCCAACGTTGCAAAATGCTAAAAAGCTGGTACTCACTGGTGACCACAATATCATTCTGCTGCAGCAGCAGCACCATAATTGCCACATCCAATTCTACAAAGTCCTTTGATTCGCTTACCATTTCTAAATTCCATTTCAAAAATCGCTTCAATGTTTCGGTGAGTTCCTTATGGTAGGGACTGAAAGCAATTGTGTACTGCAGCCAAGAGACGAGGTAACCTTGTGTGGCTGCCTTAGCGATGTGCTTCATCATGTAATCAACACAAAGCTCTACAAGGTCCTGTAAAATATGATTAGTGTAAGTTGTGACTGACACATACAATGCATACTCACTCCCGTTACTCACCTTAACATTGTATTTGTCTGCTAAAGCAAGCATTGGCATCACCGTCTGTAGTGAAATTTTTATTTGGCCAACATACAAGTATTTTAAGAACTGTGGAAAAACAGCCGTACAACAGGGTTCCTCAACCAACTCGATAACATGCTTGCGACACTCATTCCATTGCGGATTCATGAGCATCACCTGAAACACTTCACTACTGGCGCAGAGTATAACACGATGTGCGGGATATTGCTCATTGCCCACAACCAAAATTATGTCGGACATCAACTGCTCGGCATATAAATTCGCTATCTTTTCCAAGACACTTTGCGAGTTGTTCATCTATAGTTACGGAAAAACAAATCAATTAAAAAACAGGTTCTTCAATTTCGTTATCACTTAAACATACAACGCTTGAATCCTGACTATGCTCTTCGCCATCCTCCATTTTTGTTGTTGTTGTGTTTCGTTTATGGTCTTTGCTATTTTTGTCTCCATCACCACCAAAATCTACAGAATCGTCCATCATGTTGGTGTCAAATCCAGAATTGTGTGCTTCCCCAGGCGTATTCACGAAACGTGCAAACGTTTCAGCCAAAGCCCCACACACCTTTTAAATGTTTATTTATTTTTTGATAATATATTTTTATCTATATAAATAAATTTTGTTGCATTGAAGTAATTTTGTAACAAAACCTTTCAATTTATCATTCAATATACAAAAGAAATTGTGAACGAAGGAAGAGCTAATGAAAACAAAACAAAATATAATCAGTGCTGCCATGTTCGAAATATTCCTATTGGAATTGTGTAGTAGAAACATTAAACATATTTACAGAATAAATATATAAATATCATGAGAACATAGCAAATTTATATAATTTATTTTTAACAATTATGCTCAATAACGATTAAATATTAATTGACAGTATAACATAAGACTTCTCTCAAAAATAGTTTGAATTATGTATAAAACTCTACACTGTTTTTGTGCAATGCATCACTACCAATTAGAATATTTCTTATCATCAAAATACTTTCAAGTAAATGTGTCAAAATGAATTGAGGTAGTTTTTCTCAAAAATTGTGAGCTAACTTTTGTTTTTTACGAATCTGTTGAAAAACTATATGGAAAGCAAATAAAACACCGAAATACAATTATAGTGTCGCGCACACTAATTAGCCCGAGGGACAGCGGCTATTATAACATTTGTATTTCATCATAATTTCAATTTTTTTGCGCCGGCTTGTCAGTGCCCTCCAATTGTGCGAAGTCAACGTGCGCGTGAATTTGAATATGAAGTCGGAAGTGGTGCATAAAAGAACAAATCTCCTATTAGAAGACCCCAAATTTCGCATACGACCTTTGCAGCAGGTAGTCTCTGCCTGCACAGGTGCACTTATTACAGCATGTTTTAGTAAGTATTTAAATCGTTTATTTAAACACAGATAAGTTGTTTGTTAATAATTTATAACTTTTGCAGTGACGCCATTAGACGTTGTGAAAACGCGCCTGCAAGCACAACAAACAGCTACAAATAAATGTTTCCTGTATTGCAATGGCCTAATGGATCACATATGTCCATGCGATCCGAATATGCCCAGTAATCTTAAACCGGAGAAACGTTTGAATGGCACAATTGTATGTAAAACGAAACGCATACACACATACGTACAATTGATTGCATTTATAACAACTATAATTAACATACTTATGTTTTTTCACATAGGATGCGTTTGTTAAAATTACACGACACGAAGGTGTTGGTTCGTTGTGGTCTGGTCTGAGTCCAACACTTGTGTCAGCGCTGCCATCCACAATTGTTTATTTCGTTGCCTATGAGCAGTTCAAACAACATGCGCTCGAATTCCACTACAAATATTTAGCCGAGGTGAAGGGCTCGCCACGCGGTCGAGAGATACCCTTCCATATACCAATGCTCAGTGGTGTGTCGGCGCGTGTTTGTGCAGTCACTTTTGTTAGTCCGTTGGAGCTGATTCGCACAAAAATGCAGTCACAAAAAATGAGCTACGGCGAAATTATCTCCACTGTGCGTGTGGTTATCAAAACGCAGGGTTTCTTCGGCTTGTTTCGTGGCCTGCCACCAACAATTCTGCGTGACGTGCCCTTCTCTGGCATATATTGGACTTGCTATGAGAATATTAAAAGTATGTTCGGTGTTCAGGAGCCAACATTTGGTTTTAGCTTTATGGCAGGTGCTATATCTGGCTCGGTAATTATTGCAACAATTAACTTGTTCAGTATTAGTTCTTGATAACGAAAACTCAATTATATCTTATCTATTTATTTTTGTACATTTTGTTTGCAAAACAATTATTGTAGTTGGCAGCAACCATTACAACACCATTCGATGTTGTGAAAACACATGAACAAATTGAATTTGGCGAAAAGGTTCTTTTCACAGGTAAGCAAATAAATTTAACATTTATTTAACAGTATTGATTTCTTTGGAAATTTTTTAGACAAACCAGCCACTAATGTATCCAATATGAAAGTAAGAGAGCGGTTGTGGTCAATTTATCGCTTAAATGGACTAAAAGGTTTATTTGCGGGTCTATGGCCGCGTTTGTTGAAAGTGGCGCCAGCTTGTGCCATAATGATTTCAACTTTTGAATATAGTAAAGCATTCTTTTATCACTATAATGTGGAGAAGCACAATGAGGCCTTGTTAATATCAAACCAAAAACAAAATGATGCTTGAAAGTTATTGAGACGTTGTGATAATATACTTAATTGCAAAAAAAACTGCAAAACTAAACAGAAATCGCTTCCAACCTAAACGTTGAATAATTACTTGTTTAGTCCTCGTGAAAAGAATTCTCAGGAGTGGGTGGCATAGAAATGAAGTGTAAATGTAATATCTGGTTTGATGTAGTTCTTAAAATTTGGCATTTTTGTTGTTCCTAACCACAATAATGATACCAACCGTTATAATGATAGTTAGCACAAGTTACCTAATTAACTTTGTATGTATTATACTTAATATGAATCGAAAGAGTTCAAAGAATATGTGTACATATGTAAATTTTTATAATATACGTGCAGTGTTCAATTGTATGTGAATAAAAATGCCTTTATGGTGTAAAGCAATAAATTCATAATTCCTGAGCCCAAATACAAATTTTTTGTTGTTGTAGCGGCAGTATTTTGCCGAGTTGAGTGCTTAGCCGATTAAAGAATCCAGGAGCGTTGCGGATACGTAGACTCGACTGTCATGGAATCGGAAGTGAAACTAATATCATTATTGAAAAATTTAAGTGTGAGAGTGCAAGTTCACAATTCACTAACTAACTTAACAGTGCTTTTAAATGTGTATATAATTGACACTCCAATAATTAAAATACTGATTCTGACGTGATTATTTAAAATAAATAATTTTCGATAAGTTTACTGTTTCGATAATTTGAATTTAAGTTTTTAATCGTTGTCTGGAACAAAAAAATGCAACCCTAAATGTTTTGTGGATCTTAATTTTATTGTCAAAATGGAACGAAGAACTGCCAAAGTTGATATCAAAATAAAAACACGTGTGGTCGCATTACATTTATTTCGAAAAATTGAATTTCAAATTAGCAACATGACCGAGGAAAATAAAGAATTGGCGATGGAAGAAATCGAACAAAAGACGGACACAAAGGTAGAAAATAAAGAAACCGGTGAAAATGTTGCTACAAATAAACCTACTTCTAAGGCAGCAAAAGCTAATAAACAACCGTCGACGAAGAAGCCAACAAAAAAGAAATCCACTGAAAACAATCCCATACGCGGTCTACCTAAGTCTGGGCGTCCATGGAAAACACCAAAGCAAAAGTAAGTTTTCAGGCGTAATTTACACAATTCGGAGAATAAATTAACGCAAATGAATACCGTTACCAACAGGTTCACAACAATTAAGAAGACGACAAAACGCTTATCATTCGAAAAGAAACAGGAGTTGCGCAATGAACTGCGGCACGTAAAGGAATTATCGAAGGAGATTAAAGAGCAACGTAAGGAAGCGGCCGTGCAAAAGAATCAAAGACGTGTGGAAAATGCTGAACGCCGGTTGGCCAATGAGCGGCGAGCTGAGGTCGTACAGATAATAAAGAATCCATCGAAATTGAAACGTTTGAAGAAGAAGCAAATGCGTATGATTGAGAAACGCGATGTTAGTCAGGTGAAAGCGGTGTAGTCTGGAGGGTAACCTAGTACGCGGCTCATAGCGGGAGGGTAGACTAAGTTTTGTAGTTACTATACTTATGTATATTTTTGTAAAAAGAAAATTACAAAATTATGTGTATTGAAAACAGATTACTTATATGGAATTGTTAAATTCAGAAGAATACTTCATTATTTAAACTCTGCTGGCTTTGGTCATTCAGTGTAGATTGTTAATAAAAAGATTTTCAATACGAAGAATTTTAATGGCATTTATTACTCCGTTAGCAAAAAAATGCGCATTTACTACAAATTTCACGGTCTGATATTTTCGTTGAATATTAAAAAACAAAGATTCTTTTGAAGGGATTTTAATGGATTTCATACATACACTTGCTATATAAAAATCCATTTTCAACTAATTTAGCAATATCTTTTTCACTTGTTTGAGCTAATATTGTATATGGTATCTTGAAGAACTTTTGCAACAATTGCGGCTCTTTGTAGTCAAAACCGGCACTATCTCTAAATTGTAATATTGATAAACTACATATATAATACTCAATTATTCAATTATCAGAAAAAGCAATTGTATTAAGCATTGATAACAAATCAAATACGGGATTCCCTGATTTTTACACCCATATGAGGATATATGATAATAAATACGCCAAAGAGGATGCCAGACATATTAAAATGATGACCTTTTAAATTAATTATATTATATTGTTGTTGTAGGGGCTACTCAAAACCTACACAGTAATAAAAATTCATATGAAATCTTATGAACGGTGACCTAAGAAACGAATCGTTGGTTGATCAAAGGGAAAAGGTTATTTTGCAAACTTATGTTAAGGTTATACAATGGAGGACGTTGTTATATGAGTTGACTTGGGGGTGCATTTGAAGCTGGAAAAGTTGAATTTGTTGGGAGCAATTTAGAAAAGAAATAATGTAATATTGAGAAGTAACCTAATGATGATTGCGATAGAAAGCAATGTACAACGACCGAGAGAGGGGGTTTGTCGCGGGTGTCTGCGGGTGATCAGATCAGAATGGGGCTCAAATTGCCTATTTGAGCTCCTATGAACCGTGGAAGTCCTGTATTGGCACATGGGGAAAGGACAAAGAAACGTTGTTGGCAACTGGCAAGGCGATCGGCCGACCTAAACTAGACCACACCAATATGGTCGTCTGGACGCCAGACCACCGAGACTCCGACCATCTGACACCTCTCTCCCTTTGATCTGACCCTTTCGAAACAGGACGTTTCTTGGGCCTTCCGATGATAACTTAGCTAATCCTGGCCATTATAACGGGGATTATGCATCCGTTAGAACAACAACAACGAAAACAAAAGAGTGTACGCTGCTTGATGAGTAGTGCGCTGTTTTGTGAGACTTGCGAATTAAAAAAAATCGACTTTTAAAAACATATTTCAGTAAATTGTCCAAAAAATCGGAGCTGATCCGGTAAAAACTTTGGGAGAAATTTGCATTTTTGTAAAATATTTGTTTTCAACTTTTCCGAAACGGCCGATAATTTTGGAATTTTCACACGACCTTCTTTATATAGCCATTTGTCAAGAAATAATCGAAGGAATATGATTTTTGACAATAATCTCGATTTATAGAACTTTTTTACAAAAAAATTTAAAAAAATTTACTATTCCTTCGATCACTACCTGTCTTCATCTATAATATCTTTTTTGTTTTAAAAATAATTTTATGTTATGCAGAAAAATAATTATAATAAACAAAGATTTTCTTAACGAACACACGTTTAAAGTTTATTTCACATTTATTTTTGATAAAGGATAGTATTTATTTATTTATTATTTTGTTTTGTTTGATTTAATGCTAATTTTAATACAGTATTTAAAATATTTCTCTCATTTATTATTATATTTATTATTTGCAGTGGATAATAAAGCACTTTTGTTTGGTGGAAATTGTAGTATTTATCCGTTAAAACGGATTCGTCACTTATACACATAACCTACAAATACGCGGAAATTATAGTGCATGCATTTGAAGAACGAAAAATGAAGAGGGAAATGAGTAGAAAGAAACTATAAGAAATTTTAATTCAAATATATAAAATTATACTGAAAAATTTTTCGGTTTAGGTCACGCCTACGATTTGATACAAAATTTACTCGGAAGTTGCTGAGAAGATTTGATTAGGATATTTAGGGCCGTTCTCTTAATATCTGGTTAGCAGCTATCTAAATTTCTTGTTAACTTAAGCAATACCGGAACGTAAATGATAGACAGCTGCGAAACAGACATTGAAAAATTACCCTTAAGGGACCATATATTTTTTGGGGCAGTAATCAAAGAGAAGAAATTTTTTTAAAATTATTTTATATGGATTGGTTCGATGAGGATTAGTTGTGTGAAAAATAAATTAAAAATTTTTTCCTTTTTGAAAAATATTTTTTTTTTTAATATTATTTTCCAAAAAAAATTACTAAATGTTCATGGGTGTTTGCAAAAATTGTTTTTAATAATACGTTTTGAGATTTTTTGTTTATTATTTGGAAATTTTTAGTTAAATTGTGTAATTTTTTTTCCAATTTTTACAATTTTTTTTTTTGAAAAATACTATTTTTTTAAATCAAAGGTTCATGGGTGTTTGCAACGATTTTTATATTTTTTATGTTTTAAATTCATTTAGTTTTTTTTTTATATGGGTACTTTTAGTTAAATTTTGTAATTTTTCAAAATTCCGACTTTTTTTTACTTTTACTTTCAAATTTTTACTTATTTTGAGCGTTTGTTTGGAAAAAAGAAATAAAAATCTTCACTTATTTCGTTTTTTTTTTTAAATTTAATTGTCGAATGTCTGCATAAATTTTGAAACAGATCGGAGGGGTGTCCTTGTAAATAAATAAAAAACTCAGCAAAAAAATAACTAAACAAAATAAAACTCAATAAACACATTTTGTTTCATAGTGTAATTTAATATCAATTTAAATACAAAAAAATGTTTGGTTTTTCATTTCATTTTTTTCCTTTTCAACATCCGTTTTAATACATTTTATAAGATCTTCAATACAAATTTTTGCGAATTCCCGCTCACTTGCGCAGAATCAAATAAACAAAGTCAAAATAACGTAAAAATTAGCGAAATAATTAATCATAAGGTAATTAATTAAAATTGTTTTTTTTTTCTTTCTTTTAAGTAGTTAAAATTAATGTCCAAAAAGAATAATTTGCGGCAGCAATTTTGCTGTTGTTGTTGTTGTTGTTGCATTTCACATTCGGACCGCTAATTGACAACTGTTGCATCCGCTTTGCTGCTATTTGTTGTTGTTATTGTTCTTATTTGCTTGCTGGCGGCAGTTGTTGCTAATAATTTCGTTGTTGTTGCTGTTGTTATTGGATTAATTTACTTATGTGCAATGGGAATCATGGTTTCGCCGGCGGTGATAGCGGGCAGTGGCGCCTCCACGGTCAAGACGCCATCCTTGCTGAGCGACGAGCGTATGGACTCGGGATTGACGCCCTTTGGCAAGAGGAACTCACGGTTGTACTCCCTGTAGACGCTCTTCGTGTCCGATTTCTCTTCGTGTTTGGCGTGCACCTGTGCAAAACAAGAAATAAAAACGAAACATTTTAATAAAGATTTCTATAAAAAGTCATGTGTGAAAGTTGCAGCATTAGAAGTGGCTTATGCGCCGTTTAATTGTTTTTGTTGTTTGTTTTGTCAATGTGTCTCTAGTGTGTCTTCTACTATGTTCGTTCACGATCTTTTGCAGAGGTTGTATTTTATGTGTCTCTCTGCATGACAGCGTGTGGGCCGGTGTCCGACCACATCTATGGCATATGATTCACTTGAATCTGAAATGTGCGGTTTGTCTATGCAGTCGTAGTCGTAGCTTGCATGTATGTATATATGTATGTATGTGTGTATATTGCTTTTCGCCTTCATAAGTTTGAACAAGCAGAATTTCAACACTCACTTCTGCCATGATTTAATGAAGTGAGGCGTCACAGCATCACAAAATGTGCCGTTACTTGCTTTTTAGTGCACGAAGAGGCGTTTTAGCAAATGCAATAACAACAACAAAAATGTTTTTAAATGCGAATGTGTGTTTTTAGGCGCTTAGCAAGGAAAATTGTTTATTGCCGGGTAAATGTAAAAATATAAGAAAGTTTTTTTTGTTTTCAGAATATTTTGATATAAAAATATTCAAAAAATTCATAAACAAATTTAAGATAAAGAAATAAAAACGTGAAATTAAATTAAATGTTGCGCTATAATTTAGTGAAAAAAAGTTTCGAACTTTTAGATTTTCAATTTATAAATCCATTTTTGGAATTAAAAAGTTAATTTAAAATATTTAATTTTCATATAAGAATATTTTTTAAATTTAATTATTAAAAATTTCAGTTTAAAAATAAAATTTTTAGTTCAAGATGTTTTGGATTAAAAATTGAAAACTTTATTTTTTAATTCAGTAATAAAAAAATCTCTGCTTAAATAAAAAATCGAGTCCTGCTACGCCATCAGGATTCTATTTTAAGGTAAATTTTACTACTAACGGTGCTTTATAGTGTTTGATTTTATTTTTGGAATCTCTCAGTTGCATTCTTCTGGAAAATGTATTTTTTGTACATTTAATTTAAATTTTCAGTCTATGTTGAATTTCTTACTATCTGCTGATGGGGTTTCATAGCACATTACCAAGCTTAAAGAACTGTTTAAAACTAGTGCTAATACCTGCTCTGTATTTGTATTTAAAACTGTCAAATCTATTGGCAGAAACATTTTTCACATTTTTGATTAAGGCGTTATGCAGCAAATGCAGGTTCCAAGAAGATGGAAAGGAAAAGATTCAGAAGAGCTCTTCAATTTTATGAAAACTGCATTATTTATACTTTTTGGTAAGTTATTTGACTCAGAGACTCTCTGGCGATCGAAAAGTTAGTCAGGGTTGTTAAGTCAGGGGTTGTGTCAGGGTCAGGTAAGTGGGAGACTATCTTCAACTGAAAACCTATTGTTAATTGTTAAAAAATGTTTTAAATATTCTTTACTGATGGGTCAACACTTGCTTGAGGGCTTTACTTTCAGGAGTTCTCTATCAACTCCAGTTTCAGACTTTTCAGACTTCCAAGCTCATTTTGCAGCCATTAAGGTAACAGTAGATTTACTGCTCCATCAGAGAAGTGACCGTCCACTCAGATAGCAGCGGCTCGGCACTCCCGTATCCTCTTGTTTTCTACTACTAGATAGCTGGGTTTCGCGGAAGCTTGACCAACGCTGGGTCACCATCGGTACATGGGCTGTCGCAAAAGCCTTTTGGTCCAAGATCGATTGCAAGAGAGCGTTGAAGAGTTGAAAGCTCTTGGTCGGATGAAAGTGGAGGTTAGACAAGCATCTTTACACACAGTTTATCCTTTTTTGTCGAAACGGCTGATATTGGACCACTGAACTAATCGATCAAAACCAAGTTCTTCTATGGACAACTTTTTTATTTGATCCCCGAACAAATTGTTCAGACTGTAGGAAAAAACCTTTTTATTTGATGGGATATCCGCAATCTCTGAACATACTGTTGAGGTTGAATAACTATATGTAGGATGCACATAGCTGTCATTCAAAGTGTTAGGTTTTCAGTTTTTCCAAGAGGTCTTATAGTTGTTTCTTCTGGTATTCCTACCCTCATATATTTCTCATTACAGTTTTTATTTTTTAATCTTATCAAAAATATCCACACTCATATGTGAATATGTGTATAAAAATGTACATGGGCATACATACATATATGTATGTGTAAATAATTATGTATAAAGATTATTATGGGAAATAAGTTTACAAAAAGGTTGCTGATACATTCAAATAAATTTATCGAATTTGTTAAATGTAAATATTTGCTAAAATTGTATGTATTTAAATGCCGTATTTTATTAGCTTAATTTTACAGATAAACTCCTGTGAAATATCATCTGTTCACAGCATGAATTCGTATGCTTGTAGTTGCCATACCTACACTTGCGCATATATATATACGTATGTATTTTTCATTCTATATGCATAACCGTAAAATGAATTTCTGTGATGACATGCAAAACCGAGACTTTGTTATTTTCAAAGTATTTGTTTTTATTCTTTCACGCAGCAATTGAGGTGTGAAATGCTGTTGCCTAATGGCTACCGCTGGCCATTAGCAGATTAAAGGTGCTCAAGTCGATATCTGCTTATACATACACATATATTTATATATGGATGTATGGTATACACATGTACATAGGTATATACGAGTATTTAAACAAAATATGTGCGTAGAAATGACAGAAAATTTGCAAATCCAAAAAAAAAAGATTAAAATAAAATAAAAATCAAGGAAACAGACAATAAACAACAAGCTGAAGTGAAAAATGCCGTCATGAGAGGAGGATAAAATGGATTGGGTACACAAATAAATTTCAAATATTTCGAGAAAAATCTTGAAAATGCCTAACGATCGCATGCTGTTGCCGCCACTGATCGGCTGACTTATTTGCAACACAAACAATTCGACGTTTGTATATATGTATGTATGTGTGTGTTTGGTTTCGACATAACGGCGACATGGCCGTGAGTCATTTTCCAAAAATATATTCTCGAACACAGGCATTCGAATGAGACTACAGCCAGCGAGCAAGAAGAAAATATTGAAAAACATATGGGATTTGCTAGAAATTAGTACGAGAATGGCTGTGCATGTGTATAGCTTAGCGATAGGTAAAGTGGAGACGAAAAAAGCAGATGTGAATGCACCCCAACATACATACATTTAAAAAATATGTTTTTGACGAACTGTCAGTAGCGAGGCTTTGATGATGGCCTTAAAAATGTGTAAAAATACGAAAAATATTCGAAAATAGCACATAAAATTTACATACATTTTTTG